AGCATATCAGACTACATAATATCAGTGTGATTAAGGCCTGACCTGGAAGACATAGGCCACTGGTCTAATTATGGTCACTGGGTGCCACAATCAATTGTATTAATTTGTGTTGTGTGTCATGATGGATGACGACTGATGCTGCATCTGGAACGTCTCACAACATACTGACAGAAAGACTAATGTGTTTGGTTTAAACATGGTGACACGCAAGAGGAATCATGCTTTTAGGCTTTTCTGAGCACAAGACAGCCAATATATTCACACTGCTTCTGACGCAATTTGTACATTCATTTCCACAGAAATAAGTTGGGAGCACGTCCTTTCTAGAGACATCACACAGATCTGGCGATTGGTTGGACAGTTTGATTACAAGGCAAGAATTTATGACTCTAATCTGACACATGGACCATTTTAACGGACAAGAATATCTTGCAGTGTGAGCCCAGCTTTAAGTGAAAGGAACAAAGGAAGGATCTCAGTGGGACACTGTGAGATGAAGGATTCCTGGACTCCCAGCACTCCCTTGAAAGATACCCAACTCTAGACCTGCTCTATTTTATAGCCTCTCTGTCACCATTTTCTCATCCTGACCGTCGTAGCACCTCTGCCTCTCACTGCACCTGAGGCCCGATTAAAAGAATGTGACCTCCAAACAGGAAATGATTAAAAAAGTGGAGTGATTATTTGACTCAGGTTTTGATGTGAAAACATACATTTTTGATCAACAAGACAACATTATAACGCTGAACAAATGACAAACCAGGAATCCACTAAATTATCGCTAAAGTGATCTTCGGGGGTGAGTCAGCTCTGATAGGTCAGATCTGTGACAAATCTGTTAACTAATGAAATCAAGTGGTTTGTAAGTATGTGAAGGGTCTTTTGGTTGAGCTGCCTGTTTAATTACAACTCGAACCCTTGGCTCTTATTCCACTGCTGAGGAGTACGGCTGAGTTTTTCCAAACTTTTATTTTAAGGCTCTCTGAAAAGAGGATCTCAATGTGCTGAGGCCCCAAAGTTTCCTCCATTAGAGCATATTTCACTCACAAGAAAAATCTGTGAATGCCACCAACCCGTTCCTGTCAAGTTCCCGACTTGAGAGAGTGGACTGTTAGAGCGGAGTGACAGACGATATGTGCTTTTCTAGTCTGGTCTGCATTTATTTATTTTTTGTTGTGCAGTCTGCCGACTTCCCTCGCTGCCCATTTGCTTCTTTCTCTGTGCAGACCGGTTGTTTTAATCAGGGAAAGCAGCTGGGGACAGGGGGAGAGGAGCTTGTCTCTAAGCCTGGCAGATTTACTGGCTCCCCACACCTCCTTTACATCTCCCCGGCTAATAGGGCTGCCCTGGTAGCTTCGCAAGTGAACAAAAAGAAAGAAAAAAAAGGCCAGGTAGGAGACAGACAGCTGGGAAAGTATATAGAGATAAGAAGCACACAGGATGAGACACATCAGAGCTGAGGGGAAAACACACAGGAGTTGATAGAGAATATAACATACTGCACAGACAAGGACGGTAGCAATCTACATAAAGAAAGAACAATAAGAAGGCTAGAAGACAGGAAGTTATAGATAATCTATAGATTTTGAAAATTGAATCAATTGCTGAATTCATATGAGCCCACAGCTGTGTCCCAATCCCTCGTAAATCCCTCTGGTAGACAGAGGATTTCCTATTTACGTCACCAGCACCCTTAATGTTGTATTGTAAGCGACTCTGAAGAGCAGCACTTAAAGCAGCCACCCACAGCCAGCTTGTTTGCTTCATCACTGGTAAGCAATGAATCCTGGGATAGATCTATTTGGATCCACCTTTGTTGCCTGGGAATGCAAGGACACATTTGTCAGCTGCATTTGAAAAAGCTTTCGAAAAGTGACAGTGGTCTAAGCGCTCGCCTCCTTGTTGTGACGTTCGCCATGGAATTCCCATGCGCTGCGTGATATGTTGTCAGAAATGGCGGAGGCCATGAAAGTTAATTTTTTCATTGCATGATGAGTTAACACTTTGTAATTTTAATCACATAGTTTTTCTTAATGACACGTCTGAGAGAAATGTAAATATTTCAAACAGCCTCATCTCTTTGCTCCGACATTATGCCTTTGCACTTCCTGCATTAAATTACCCACTGGCTAAGTTGCTAAAGTGATCTTTGTGACTTCTCGACGCCAACAGTACTGTTAATATTAGTGTTCATTTTGCTCTTGCCCTGGAGGAGTGTTTTCAACAGTTTAATGACAAGCCTACCTTCTACTTGTCTCGTAACCTTCAGCTCTCAGGTTCCATTTGGAGGCAGCAATGATTTAATATCTTAATATTGTTAATTACTGAATAACAGCCATGGCTTCTCCCTTTTCCCTCTTTCCCTGTGCCTGGTGTCAATTTGTTGTTTCTCTCTGACCCAGTCTTTCCTCACCCATCTGCCAGACACCCTCCCTGACTTCGTTATTACTCCCCAAGAATTCATAATCAAGAGGAATACCTAGATGTGTTTGTCAGATGGCAAATTTCTACCAGTTAATCATTCTCACCAGCAAACGTTCGTCTTCTGAATTGAACTTAGACTGTGTTACTGCCAAATTAACTGTTGTTCTCAATACTTTATACCAATGTTTTTCATTTTAGAAGATATTTCTCAATCTCTGGACACATTATACACTCAGAGCTGCTTATGTGTAACATGCAGTGGAAGGTTCTCTGTGCTGTGCACCTTTAGCACATTCACCTAATAGGTCTGGCCTGCTGTTGCCTTCAGAGCTGCTCCTATTAGTGCCCTGGGGTCACCTGAAACACTGAGTTGTACAAGTGGTTCTGCTTGTCCTTGTATTCATGGCTGTTTACCTGTCTCTTGTTTTTATGACCAGTCTCTCCTGTTGCTCCTATCAGTATGCATTGATTACAACCTTATCAAGAAGTAAGAAAAATATATATTGAGTCTCCCTAGAGAATAATTGACACAGTGGGACAAGGAGAATTGACACAGTGGGTCAAGGAAACAGCAGCACAAGGAGAAAATAGAAAAGAGATAAAGATAAAAATAAAAATTGTGTAATTGTGCAATTAGTCCAAAGTTCAACAGTCTTCCTTAAACTGTGTATTTTAGATTTACAGGAAACTTGGTAGAATAATGGGAGGGAAGATAATTCAATTTTGAATTGGATCTGGACAAAAGGGCAGATCCAGCAATTTTGTATTCGCTACATTTTTTACAGTTTACCATGGAATGATAAATGGATCTTGATTAAATAATCTAATATATTTAGGGCACTGATAATTGTGTTGCATTTGTTATGACAGGACAATTTCCAAGTCATTGTTTATAGCAGTATTCGTTAGGACGCAGGTTGACTTTGATACATGAACTAACCTGAATGTTAATTGTATGTTTGGCATCCAGGAGGAGGACTGTGCTACAATTTCGTTGTGCTAGTGTAAGAAGTACGACTGAGCAATGACAATAAAGTCTTTTGAAATTTGAAATTAGATCTAGTCAGCTTGAGTCACTGACGTGATTGTCCTTAACAAGTAATTGTTTTTCTGATATATTTCTAATACTTGAACAATATCTTTTTTTAATGTAAAATGTAAATATCACCAAGAGAAGCAGGTTTTTTTCCAAATGAAAGGACGATCAGATTTCAATTTGTCGACCAGGGACACATTTTTAATGCCAGGTGTGCACAGAACACAATCTTGACACCATTTTGAAGAAGTGGAAGAAGTATTCATGGTCAGTGTAAGTGGGTCACTGCTGACACAGATTAAGTAGCAGGTGAAGGCTTTTCAGAAATACTGGAAGACTGTCAGAGAGACAGAGAGAGGGAGACAATGATGGAGTCAGTTTGTCCCCTCTGCTGTCGGCAGCAGGAGAAGAAGATGGATATACAGTGAGAGAGGCAGACAGTCAATGGGGAGACATTCAGTGAGACGTAAAGAGATGGGTGACAGATCCACACTGTCACCTCTGATGAATTTCTCAAAACATGTGCACACATATGCAAACAGTCATACCTTCAGCCTCACACGTACACACTCACCCATGTAAGCACACATATGTCAGACGCACGTCCATCAGGTGCACATCTGCAGACGTTAAAGTTCCAAATTAAATCACACATGCATGCACACGCATGCACACAAACACAAACACACACACACACACACACACACACACACACACACACACACACACACACAAGCACTTATCCTATTACTCTCACCTTCACCGGTTGCTAAGCAACAGCACATATCCACAGATTGTTTATAGAGCCTGGAATATAGTTCATCTCCGAGGGGGGGTGAGACGGAGACGGATGACACAATCTCCTCAGATGGAAAGATAAAGAAGAGTAAAAGAGGGAAGTGGGCAGTAATGCAATGAGGCTCCTGCTCCCAAGTGTACACTGTGTTATGAAAGATGAAAGAAATGTTTTGTGATTTAATACGGTGCTGCCAAACGGAAATACATCTGTCTGGATCGCCCCTTCTGTGTTGGATGGGGTGGCAGGTGACATGCAGATTTAGTGTAGTAAAAAAAGTATCAGCATTATTTGATTAATCCCCCGAGAGAGGAAGAGAGTCTCTGACCTGTGGTTAAGAGAAAATACCAGAGGCAGTTACATTTTCTTTAGCAGAATTTATATATATGTATTAAGTGTGTTGAAGTATGTTTTATTAGATTCATATTTAATTACAATTAACCTGCAGTTGTATGCCTTTGCCAACCAGTAGAGTTTATATACATTTTCATTCCAGACTACCGACCACTGGAACACAGTTCATCTTTGAGTCAAAATGTGAAGAAATTCCCTGAAAGCAGATTGAGAGGCCACTGTGACCTTGACCTTTGACCACCCAGACCATTCATCTTTGAATCCGAGAACAACACATACCTTAAACTTACAAATGGTAAATTTTGTGTGCATTATCCTCGATACAGTTTGTTGTCTTTAATAATTCAGACCCGTACTAGACGTCTTATTATGAAAAATAGTTTGACTCACATGATGGTGTTGATCCCTGAAAGCTGCTGGAACATTTGAAGACCACAGCCCACCAGGAGAGCGCGCCGAGTCGGGGGGTAGGTCAGCATCCGCCAGATCACAGGGCCATCTGGAGGCACAAGCAGAGGGACAACAGAAATTAATTTCAAACTCCGCTGGACTTCACTACAAAACACCTGGGTTTAACAGAGTTGAATTAAAAAAATAAACACACATCATAGGAAAAGAAAGACCATGGCTGCTACAAACATAAGGTCATCACAACTGTCAAACCAGATTTCCTGTGCCTTAATATTTGTTGATACATACAAGCATAGTGATCTCCCCATCCACTGTAATTCTGGCCAAATATGTGAATTAGCAATTTCCATAAAATGTGAAACTGCTCCGTCAGTTTCACATTTTATGGAACATAGGGCCCATTTTATTTAGTTTCATTTTTTCTGTCCTAGTGTGTTGCAGGGAGCTCCTCACCGTCAAAAAACACTACTTCTGAAGCTCCTAAAATGTCTCATCGGTCCTGCCTATACCTCTGCAACATTATGATGTAACAGTACATCACAACATCCTGCATAATGCACGCCTATAGAGGCTAGTATGGCACTCCCCCTAACAAAGCCAGGCAATGTTAGAGCCGAGGCCAACATTTCCAATTATACACTCATTTTGTCATCTCTGCTAGCTAATAAATGCCCATATTCAACACACATTAAAGATTTGGGCATTGGTTTAGAATGAACCAGTCGGGTCAATCTTTTCTTAACTTATTGCTGAGGCTTTGTTAGCTCCAATGATAATGTTCTGTTGCCAATTCTGACCTCTGACCTCCCTGTGCTGCTGGAAAAGTGTAAAGACAAAATATCTCTCCTTTTTTTCTGGTGCTCTTTCAGAGGGTGGATATCTCAGATTGGGATGAAACAAATATTTGATGCCAGCTTTGGCCTTGCTGAGTCCAACTTGGCTCAGCAGCTGAGCTGGACTGTGATCTCCAACACACACAGAGAGAAGCAATTCCCTTCTGGGAGGAGAACGTCTTAATGCGATGAGGGTCGGGCATGGGGCCGACGGATAAAGAGGGAGACACACCCAGGGCAGAGAGATCCAACAAACAAGCCTGAGTACACAAGCAAAGAAAACACACAGGTAGGGCAAGGATACACAAGAACATACATATTATCATAAACAAGCATGGCATGAGCCTGCACATATGAGATGACACACAGACACACACACACACACACACACACATAGATGCAGGCTGATTATGTGGGAGCAGCTGTGTGTGGGAGGGCTCTGGACCAGTGGTCATCTGCTTTAGCTGTTTGATAAGCAGACCAGACCAGACGCCCCTGCTGACACACAAATACACTTAAAGCCCTCCTTTTGATGGCCACTCCATCAGACTCTGAGCTTCACTATTCCCTTCATTTCCTTTTCGATTCTGAGACGCTGAAAGAAGTTTTGTACCTTTCACCTGATATTCCACAGAAGCCACTTCTCATTCTTTTTTAAGAAATGAGAAGCATTTTTCACAGCACACTCTGACGCAGTTACATAACTTTTACAAATGATTTAACACATACTTTTCTTTGCTTGCATCTTTCTTAGTATCTTGTATAAGCATAAAATAAATTTGCCACACAAGCAGATTCTGCAGTTATTTTCACAAGGTTCCTGTTATTCAACAGGGCATAATATGAAGAAAATGTATCATTCATGTTAAAAATTAGCATGGAAAAGAAAACTGCTAAATTCTCGCTTGGTAATGAACAATCTTTGGTTTGGTTTTAAATACTTTGATGCTATAAAATGGGTGAACCATGATGACTAGCGCCTAAGACTGACTAGCATTTGGTCAAGTATGTGAACTGGAAAGATCTCAATGCTGCAACTCCACACCACCAGCAGACAGGTGACCAGTGCAAGATGGCGGCAAGTGGAGACACATTGGCCAACTTTTACCTGAGGATTCAGAACTGGAAGTGAAATGCTATGAAACCTCATCCCTACTATCTAAGATATCTTACAAATATTTTAGCAGAATATACAATTGAAGGTTGTATTTGTCAATATTGGGTTCTCAATGAGTTACTGTGGTTTCCCAGGAGCTATTTAGACTCAGATTCAAAAGTCAATCTAACCCGAAACAGCGAAGAGGAAGTGATTCATTAATATGGGCTGAGCCATTTCCATGTCATTAACCAGGTGGAGCGAGATTGGTTGAGCCCAAGAGACAAGAGCAGAGGACTCTTAATCTGATTAGCCAACAGGAAAGTCAGGATCCATGGGCCGAAAAAACTATCATGAGACCTGATGGCCGCCTGAAGAAGCAGGAGAAGAAGAAGAGCTACATTTACAAAAAACACATTTAGGATGCTCTCAATCATACAAGCAGATCTTTTTTCTTTTACTCTCTTTTCCCTACACAGACTGACAAAAGACCAAATAAACAGTACAAGTAAAGGGCTGATCCAATGTTTTCCACAGCATACAGTGCATGTGTAGAGACTCAGTTGTATGCACCCGCATAAACACACAGCTTAATTTCCTCAAGCTGAACGCTAACCAACTGCAATTTAATCAGATGAGATAGTGAAAGAGAAGGATGGTACAGAGAAAACATGTGAGCGTGCCACCAGCAAGTCACAAGAACACTGATTAAGCCTTGTGGCGCTGCTGTAATTGCTGCATTCAGACTGAAGCTTTCAAACAATATCTCTTTTTATGTTTTTCTATATCTCATTTATTTTTTCCTGCAGTGCCACTGTCACACGGCTCAGTTTGAAATTTGAATTTTTTTGTGACCAAGTAAATACAAAAAAAATTATGCGGTCAGGTGTGGTTTATGGTTAAACGCATGCATATTATACAAAAAGAAATCATGATGCACCAGTTGCCGTGAGAGATGAGCAGTGACTGTGAAACACACAGATTCAAATGAAGACAGCACACACACACGCACATGAAGGTCCTACAAAGACTATTTTCCTAAATCAATCTGCCCACATGAGCTCTGTGATCATTCTACCTGCACAGACCTACTTTGATTCCTCGTCTTATCAGCACTCACTTCAAACAGAGTTTGTTTGTGTGGCGTGCAGGGGAAGATGGGGCTGTGCTTTTAATGAGAACCAGATCCATCACCTGTTCCCTCTTGATATTCAGCGAAGGAACCTCCAATTAGCTCTCCTCTTTGGCTACCATGCTTTGAGAGTGGGAAAAGCCCCGACTTCTCTGTGTAGCAACCCCGTGGCCAATTACAGTGCCCGTTTAGTATGGTTAACCCCTGTGAAGATATTTCTTATTATTCACAAATCAAACACGTGCCACAGCTTCATGAAATATACAGCAGGGAGAGAAAAGAGGCAAAGAGAGGAAAAAAAGAATCAGTTGGAAGCTCGCTTTCCAAGAAAACTGGAAAACTTATACAGTGTTCAGTGATATGAAGCCTTTTAAGATACATCGAAATATGTGAAAATACAAATGTCTACACTGGGCATTTCTATTGCATATTTCGAAGTGTCAGGGTGGACAGGAATAGCACTTTCTATCCATCCAATCATCTCATCCTGAGGAAGTGAGTCATTCAATTGGGCTTCACTTGTATGAGTGAGCAGGCTTCAATCAAAGAGTGTAGCCATGGGCAGGCGACATGCAGCCCTACTGCCTAACCCCTCCACCTCTCCCCTAATTATTTCTTCCACATACTTCCTGGCTGCTCCCCTTTCTCAGCTCATAATCAGAGTGGGATCACGACACCTCGCACTCTACACACTCAAGATCAGAAGAGAAGGTCAGAACTAAGAGAGAATGGAAATTAGAACTTATCCTGTTTTATAAAACCACTGTGCAGCCTATTTTGTATGACGGGGAGCTGCTGTCACAACTGAAGCTACAGTACCAGTGTTTCTGAAAGTTGTTCATGTCAACAACACCACCACCGCTCCAGTGTCTGAAACGAATCAATTAAAGTAATAAATGAATGGATGGAAGGAGGTTTTCCAGCAGTCTCAAACTTACACCAAGGTAGATACAGCAAAAGGCAGAGAAAGAAATAGAAACAACCTGACCCAGGCAATGTAACTTTTTTCCATTTGATGTTTATGACATGTTGGAAAGGTCTCTGGCTGAATTTAAATAAAATCATACCAGCAGAGGCACCTGCAGCTGAGCAGAGGATGCGACACAAAGGTGTATACATTTTTAAACTCCAATTGATTTTCCAGCTGAGATTTCTATAATTCAGCAGTTAGACAGCTCTCCCTGCAGACATGCTGTCCATCATCACATGGAAGTTGATGTGGCAAAAAGTTCAAGGATAAAACTGTTTTTCTTCTCATGCCCAATAGATTCAGTGACAGATTCACAGTCTAAGGGGTAAAAGAGAAGATCTTGGGTGAGAGAAGGAACTACATCGCATGCCAAAACAGCAGCTGAAACGAGAAGGTCTGACTGTTTGGAAGGTAAAAACGTTATGAACCAAATGGAAGTCTGGAGTAGTGCAACAGTGTGAGCAAGCATTCACCTGCAAACTGTACCCATTGGACAGTATTAGCTGTCAATCACACAGTATCCATGTCCAAATGCATACAGTGCTGTACCGCCTATTTTACTCTAAATGGGTCCATAATTTACAAAATGAACATCATGTTGCATTCAAGAAAACTTGAAATCAGAGATTGTGAACATAACCTCTGTATAAAAATGTTTCCTGATGTTATAAATAAAGTGAGAAGTTAAGTCATTTTCTGACAGACTATAGAAACTAACTTCTTTTAACCAAAGAAGTCGCCCCCTGCTGGTAAACGAGAGACCAAGTTTCAGGAACTTCCACATTGGATTCACTTTCCGGACCCAGAGTTTACATCCTTTTTTACATACTACAGTCTATACATTCAACCAATCACATCCATATACAGCTTGTAATCACAAGTCCCATAATAATGTTTCCATATTTTGGTGTTGCATGTCAAGTACACTTTACATTTACACGTGTGAAAAACAGTGTTCAGTAAAAACTGCATTTGAACCACATATTGCACAGTGAAGTCCTGTTTTTCTTTTTGTCCCACACCCTGTCTTCCTCTGTGTGAAAGAGGCTGATCCAGT